GCGATCTCGGCTCACCGCAACCTCCGCCTCCTGGGTTCAGGCAATTCTCCTGCCTCAGCCTCCTGAGAAGCTGGGATTACAGGCACGCGTCACCATGACGAGCTAATTTTTTGTGGTTTTAGTAGAGACGGGGTTTCACCACGTTGACCAGATGGTCTTGATCTCTTGACCTCGTGATCCACCCGCCTCGGCCTCCCAAAGTGCTGGGATTACAGGCGTGAGCCACCGTGCCCGGCCCTACTGAATCTTTATATTTGATTGCAGGTCACCTGGATTCTTCAGGACTTCAGGAAGTACAGTTAGCTGGGATGTAAGTTCTGTTGCCAAATGAACCCCATGCAAAAGCCTTTCAGCACTAGTCATAGAGATTTTATCCTATACAGATTCTGCGGAGTACAAAACCTTTCTCTCTCTTTTGTTTTTTTCTGAGACAGAGCTTTGCTCTTGTTGCCCATGGTGGAGTGTAATGGCTTGATCTCAGCTTACTGCAACCTCTGCCTCCCAGGTTCAAGTGATTCTCGTGGCTCAGCCTCCTTAGTAGCTAGAATTACAGGCATGCACCACCAGGCTTGGCTAATTTTTTGTATTTTTAGTAAAGACAGGGTTTCTCCATGTTGGCCAGGCTGGTCTTGAACTCCTGACCTGAAGTGATCAGCCCGCCCCAGCCTCCCAAAGTGCTGGGATTACAGACATGAGCCACCATGCCTGACCTGAATTGCTTTAAATGCTCTAACCTGGCTGGGCGCTATGGCTCACGCCTGCAATCCCAGCACTTTGGGAGGCCAAAGCAGGCGGATCATGAGGTCATGAGTTGGAGACCATCCTGGCCAACATGGTGAAACCCCATCTCTACTAAAAATACAAAAATTAGCCGGGCGTGGTGGTGGGCACCTGTAGTTTCAGCTACTCAGGAGGCTGAGGCAGGAGAATTGTTTGAACCCAGGCGGAGGTTGCAGTGAGCCAAGTTTGTGCCACTGCACTCCAGCCTGGTGACAGAGCAAGACTTCATCTCCAAAAAATAAATAAATAAAAATAAAAAATAAATGCTCTAACCCAGATAGATAATGAAATCCAGGGAGGGAGGACAGAAATTAATTTTTTAAAAAAAATTAGCCCCAATACACTGTGCTGGAAAATTAGTAAATTGTAAATTGTATAAAACTTATTCATTTTTGGTACATGTTTATTTACATGGTTATGCAGGCAAAATGAGGGTCTTATGCCCAAGATGTCACTTGAGTCTTGATGTTTACCACAGAGAATACCCTATGTATTGTTGCTGGAAGAGACATGTCAACTAGGAAAAGGGCTCCTAGAACGAAATAAAGAAAAAGTTGGGATGTACCAATCCGCTGAAGAATAATCAAACCATATTTGGGGCTAACCTGACGGGCAGTTTGTTTTAATCTGCAGGGATCATCACCAGCACCCAATGAAAAGTAGCCCAGTGAGTAGCTTCTCTTTTTTGGGTTTGGGTTTGTTTTTCGGGTGGGAGGGAGAGGGTTTCCAATGCACCTGTGGCTTGAGGATGATGGACGTTCTCAGCAAACACTCTTTTTTAGGCACAGCTTCTTTGTAGCACTCCAAACGGTTTGGACCGTGGCCATAGAAAGAGAGATGCAATGTGTAGCTCATCTGCAAATAAAGAAAATGTGAGTGTTTAATGGAAACCTAGATATATTGACAGATTTATTTTTTTGAGTGAAGAAACTTGTTGGTGTCATTGTGAAACATAGAACTGTTTACATCTCGTGTGCTAGGCAAGCAAACTGTATTGCTATAGGGGAAAAAAATTCTTTGTTTTTGTTTTTTCTCATTAAAGTTTGGCCCTAAGACAGAGACCCAGCTCAGAGTCGTAGGTCATCGTTATTTCTCACGTTCGGTTGAAAAGTTTGAGGACAAAAATTATCCTCACTGTAGTGTAGGGATTTAAGAGTTTTTCAGTTGTTTGTTTTAATAGGTAGGGATAACTTGCATAACTTGTTCACAGATTTTTTTTTACCACTTTATATGCAAGTGTAGATTTATTAATTTCTTATTTCTCCCTTAGTCTAACTTTTAAGCCCTTACTCTGAGGAAGCCATGGTCCTTTTTATGCAAATCTTAGGCTATTCTTCACTTCCAAGTTAAAACTAGCCTCTCCAGAGCCACATAATCACTAAGGTAATTCTCTATCTAATCCTTTCAGCTAATCCCCTTTCCTAGACATCTTTTTTCTTCCCTGCCTCCCATCTCTTTACCCAGGTCATTACCCATAAAAGATAGCTACTGTTCTTTTCTTACATTGACTTAAGATATGCTCATATTTTTGGCTGTTCTAATCCATTTTTTCTTGATTTAATACTGTCCTTCTAATCTCCATTTATAATCATTATTTATTTGTTTATTTTTGAAACTGAGTCTTGCTCTCTCGCCCAGACTGGAGTGCAGTGGTGCAATCTCGGCTCACTACAACCTCTGCCTCCAGGATTCAAGCGATTCTCCTACGTCAGCCTGCCAAACAGCTGGGACTGTAGGCATGCACCAGCACAGCCTGGCTAACTTTTATATTTTTAGTAGAAACTGGTCTCAAACTCCTAACCTCAAGTTATCCACCTGCGTCAGCCTCTCAAAGGGCTGAGATTATGGGTGTGAACCACTGTACCAGGCCTATAATCACTTTTATTTTTGAGACAGTTTTGCTCTTATTGCCCATGCTGGAGTGCAGTGGCACAATCTCTGCACACTGTAACTTCTGCCTCCTAGGTTCAAGCGATTTTCCTGCCTCGGCCTCCCAGATAGCTGGGATTACAAGTGTGTGTCACTGTGCTCGGCTAATTTTTGTATTTTTAGTAGTGATAAAGTGTCACCAAGTTGGCCAGGCTGGTCTCGAACTCCTGACCTCTGGTGATCCACTTGCCTGGGCCTCCCAAAGTGCTGGGATTATAGGTGTGAGCTATCGTGTCCAGCCTATAATCACTTTTTAAATTCTCACTGTCACCTTCCCAGGCAGGCTACCTACCCCTACCCCATTCCTTTTACTTGTGACCATAAAATTAGTATCTTCCAAAGCAAATCTGCATGCCATACATAAAATGCACATTATAATTTGCATCTTCCAATGCAAAGTTATATAAGCTCAGGATGTAGGGTCAACTTTGATTACATGAAATGTGTTTTGTGAGGGTTATTCATGGCTTCATCAGATGAAATGTTTTTATCAGGGCCAACTGACACTTCTCTTCCCCAACTAATGCTGTTTTTCTTATGCAGGAAAACAGCACTTTGAGGCCATTGGAGTGGCATGCACCCAGGAACCTGAGATTTCAAAAGAGATCAGGGGAGCCTTATGTGTCTCCTTTATGTCTGCTGGTAAGTCATTGAACATCATTATTAAGGGTCAGTTGGAATGTTATAGGCTATAGGATGGCAGCTCTGAATTTATGAGCCTTTGAATTTTTCTAACTGGCATCATCAAGCCAAATTTAAGTGGGAAAAAGAGGGTTGGAGAAGTAAAGTTTGAACAGGAAAAGACAGGAGCTATATATCCTCTGATCTTCTTGTTTAAATGTAAGGGGGAAAAATATCTTGGGCTTTGATTTTCTTCTACTTTATTCTTTTTATATGAGACGGAGTCTCACTGTGTTGCCCAGGCTGGAGTGCAGTGGCATGATCTCAGCTCACTGAAACCTCTGCCTGCCTCAGCCTTCTGCGTAGCTGGGACTACAGGCACATGCTACTATGGCTGGCTAATTTTTTTTTTTTTTTTTGAGACGGAGTTTCACTCTTGTTGCCCAGGCTAGAGTGCAATGGTGTGATCTCGGTTTACCGCAACCTCTGCCTCCAGGTTTCAAGCAATTCTCCTGCCTCAGTCTCCCTAGTAGCTGAAATTACAGGCATGTACCACCATGCCTGGCTAATTTTGTACTTTTAGTAGAGACAGGATTTCTCCATGTTGGTCTCAAACTCCGACCTCAGTTGTTCCGCCCACCTTGGCCTCCCAAAGTGCTGGGATTAAAGGTGTGAGCCACCATGCTGGCCATTTTTTGTATTTTTAGTAGAGACAGGGTTTCACCATGTTGCTCAGGTTGGTCTCAATCTCCTGACCTCAAGTAGTCTGCCTGCCTCAGCCTCCCAAAGTGCTGGGATTACAGGTATGAGCCACCGCGCCCTGGCCTCTTCTACTTTATTCTTTAAGTATAAAGATTGCTTTTTTTTTGAGACGGAGTCTCACCTTGTTGCCCGGGCTGGAGTGCAATGGTGCCATCTTGGCTTACTGCAACCTCCGCCTCCCTGGTTCAAATGATTCTCTTGCCTCAGCCTTCTGAGTAGCTGGGATTACAGGCACCTGCCACCATGTTCAGCTATTTTTCTTGTGTTTTTAGTAGAGAGAGGGTTTCACCATGTTGGCCAGCCTAGTCTCAAACTCCTGACCTCGTGATACACCCA